AAAACGATAAAAAATGTTAAAAAATGCATTACAAACAAAATCCCTTATTTTATAGGATTTTATATATTTTTTGAATTTTTTAAAATAACCTGGCCAAAACCAATGGACACAAGCCAGAGGCCCGTTCAAATTAACCAGGGAGCTAGAATTCGAACCGCCCGATTTTTCTATGCTGACTCAGACATGCACAAGAAAACAGTTTTGTTATGGAGAAAATACATCAAAGACTCATGAGTTTGTCACGAGGAGCTTATGGGGATGGTTCAAATCATTCAAGGGCCATGCCTTTTCCAATCTGTTTCCAACATGATTGAAAATCCCCATGCCCATACGGTAACTTCATCTTCCAAGAACTCTTCCTCTATAGAAGGACTCCTATTGGGGACTTAAGCCCATGACCTTTTATACTAGCCAGCAAGGTGTAACCCTATTCACTCAGCGGGGGTAAACAAAATATGATTTTCTATAACCAGGGTATGTGTCCAACGTTTTTTTAGTCACATAACCGTGTTTTGTGTGAGTACAAAGAGGTGCGGGTTCCCAAAGTTAAGAAAAAAAAGTGAGTTAGGTAACACGCGGTTTTGTATAATCACGAGGGCTGATCATCAATTTGACTACTTTTTCATGAAAAACGTTCCCCTCTGCCTTCTTTCTCACGACAATGAAGACCCTAGAGACGAAACTGTGCCTTCAACTTGTAGGAAAACACTGAAGAAAGGTCCTCCATCTTCTTTTCTAGGTTTTTACAGTCTCAATAATACAAGAAGAGGTTTTCACAGCCTCACTTTCTAAGAGCCAGGGATGGATCCCACGTAGTAAACAAGGCCAAAAATTTAGAAGTACCCTCTGGACCATATATTTCATTCACCCATTGTGATAAAACCCTATATAGCGTATTTTTAGGATTTGAAGCTTGGGAATGTAATCTCTTTAACTAAGCTACAAACCCCAAAATAAAAAGTTCTTATGCACTATATCTGTGCTCGAAAAAAGAAAATAGCCTCCTAAGATTGAGCAGATAATGTATAACTAATAAGTGTACAGCATGCTCCAACAAGACCACACCATAAATAAATAAATAATTAACAATAAGGATGGGTCCTAGAAAATTTAAAGGACTACTTTTAAGGACTACTGTTCGTTTATTTAACTCCTTTGTGTACCTCTTAACACATATTGACTCCAGTGTTTTTAAGGTCAAGGCCTTGAAAAGTCTTGCATTCCTCTATTTTTACTACTGAAGGGACCTCCATAATTAATATCAATCTTTTTATGTTTGTTATTGGGGGAAAAGGTAGGATCTTGAATACGTCTAGAAGGTAACCTTATTTGAGATTTTCCAATTCAAGGCAAGTGTTAACAAGTTTGGTCCATTGTTCACATCAATGGTTCTACGTGCATAGAAATTGCCTTTATAATTGATGGAAAAGTAGCATTCTAGAAGGCCTGCGCAAGAGTTTTCAGGCCTACCTGCAACTTGAGAACAATTCGAGGCTCTAATCATCTATTAAGGAACTTTCTCAAAATATATCGGGTTTATTACTGATGTAATATTTTACAAATTTTCAAATATTCCGAATCGCATGTGTTTCGAACGGATTTTTTAAATAAAATCAAAATAGATCGATAAAATGTTAAATAGTTCATCTCTACATAGTTTTTGATAAATTTATTTTTACAATTATTTTGGATGTGGCCTTAATACTGTACTTCATCGAGATCTTGTTGTGCACTTTCTCCCTCAGGCAAAATCTCTACTTAGGAGGAATATTTGGATCTGAAATTTTGGGATTGACCATAGATTCCCCCAAATTATTGAGAAAAAACTGGATTTTGACTTCCGTAGCATAGATCTGAGCATCCAAAAAGTCGATCATTCCTATTTGATTTATATATGTGTGAAAACAATTACAAACATTGTTGGCTAAATATGAAGTAGATGAATACAACTATAAATCGAGTGTGAGAAATAAAGCAAACATAAAAAGCACACCACAACAACACACAATTTACGTAGTTCACCCCATAAAGCTATATCCATGGCGTCAGCAATTAGAAGTCCATCATCACAATGAAGATTACAATTTTGGATTACAAGAGATAATACCTATCTTTAAACATCGGTAAAAGACCATTACTGATCTTCCCTTCTAAACATGCTCTTCAAACCGAGCAATATCATCGATCAACATCGTCTTTCCAACCGCAATACCGATACTGAAAAAATAAGCTCGAGAGGAATATAGAGATTTTCTCTATCTAAAAGTGGAAGCTAACCAACCCAAAACTCGTGAAAATACTGTTTCTTTCTCGAAGGTCATATATCTTTCTCTTGGAGACCCATCTCCATGTTGGAGATCTACTCCTATAACTCCAAAAGTGTGACCTTCAAAAGATGAGTAGTGAGTTTTCATTCACTCTCGCTTATTTGCTTAAAAAAAAAGTCAATTTTTTTATTTTTCTAATACTTTAATCTTTAGGGAAAAATATGATCACGATGATTTTAGCTATAACCAAACCCAACTATTACTCATTATCGATACAATCTATTAATAGCTTTATACATACTCAGTGTGTGGTCGTTAAATTGAAGTAGTCTCCCTTAAGAAAAGATTTTACGGTGGAAGAGAAGGGTAGACATTCGCATGCGATATTAGGTATGAAATCAAATGGGCAAAGGGAAAATGTGCCGGCATAATGTTTTAAGGAAAAGTTGTTCGTGAGTCAGGGTGCAAGAGCCCGCTACCTCACCATCGCGGATCTTTGAGATGGATGTTGTACAAAACTTATGGTTTTATACGGTGCAATTTTTTTCTCAAAAATTTCACATTTTACATATCCATTTTTGTTATATATGTATTTATCATCATCTTAATCTAGATCATGAATTCTTAAAATTTTGGATTAAAAATCCATCTTAAATATGGTTTAAGAGGGGACCCGCACATGTACAGTATGAGTCGGCTGACTCATAGAAACCCCAATGATTTAAAGCGGGATGATTTATCCTGGAAACCGTACATCATGCATTGGCGGACGCAATTCCACATGCGCGTATGCCGTCGAACATCCATCTTAATGACGAATGAATGGATGAATGCAAAAAAGTTGTGGTCCTTACCAAGATCTGTAATAGGCTAAAACCGTATCAAGAAATATTATTATATTTTAAAAATCATTTTATTTTTTATATTCATGTTCACCATAGTGGAGGTTCTTAATCTTCAAAATTTTGTAAATAGGTTAAATTTTGGAGAGAGGACTCATGTGAATGGGTAAAAGCGGCATCTGCCGAAAGCCTCAAGGGTGTGGTTTCTGTATGGGTGTAACTTTAAATAATCCAATTAATGGGCACCTCCAAATTTTATTATAAAATATAATTTTGGTATAAAAAAAAATTTGAATCACCTCAAAATCTATTTTCATATGTAATATAGAATTTTAAATTTCAAAAATGGTTAAATTCAAGTAGATCTATAAATACATGAAAATCTTGAAAATGAACGGTCTAGATAATGTATTGTAAGATACACTATTTTTTAAAACTCAATTTTTATTTTTTCATATTCATACATCTCGATGTCTCGATGTAGATATGATCAATATCACGGTTGGGGCCAGGTAATATCAACCCAAGTACAGTAGCAAAGCTTGGGCCACAGATGTGCTTTTGGTCTACAGATGTACTTTTGGTCCCTTAGTAAAAGAAGCCTAGGCTGATAATAAGCATCTAGCACCACTTAGGCTGAGCACAAGCCACTAGTAAAAACGTAAAGGCAAATGGTTTGATAGGGCTCAACCCTATCAAAATAAGTAAAGCCTCACCTCATAACTCATCCATCATCTCCGCTTGAACATTTTGGATGTAAAAAGATATTGGGATTTTATATTTTAAAAATAATATATATTATAACAAATTATCTAGATGACCCATTTTGTTTTAAAAATAAGTGTTTATAGATCTATACGATTTCTATTATTTTTTTCAGTTTCAAATTTCATTGCCGGTGTTGAAAATCGATTTTAGAGTCATCACGGAGATTTTTGTTTCCCAAAGTACTTTGCAGATGAGGATTGTAAGTGAAGTTTTATTTTGTTTTATATAAAGCCTAGGCCTTATAGAAACTACATCCAAATATAAAAAAGAGAAGAATAAATGTTGAAAATTAGGCCAATATAAACAAATATAGAAGTACAAACCACGAGTGAAGACAGCCATGCGCACCTCCATCACAAATTCTGGCGGCATAATCACAAACACATGTAATTTAGAGAGATTAAATTCCCCAACTTCCAACATAGTACATTGATCTCTTATAATTTTTCCTATGGATCTTAATATTTTTCCTTTCCTTATTTTGCAAATCAGACACCCCCAAAAAAAAGACAAACTTTTTGATAGTTCTTATTTTGCAGATCTAGAGAAAAATAGCATGTGCTTTTTCCAAATAAGAAAGGCATCCCCTGTAATCCATAGCTCTATAAAAAAGATTTTAATAATCTAAGGAGGACTGGTGGTGTTTCATAGGAGCTGCAGTCTTTCTCTAATTGTAGAAGTCGCCTCTTTAGAGGTAATCAAATGAGCAAGTGCACAGGGCAACTGTCCCTAGCATCTAGACCATGTTTTTGAGCAAATAATGGAGCTGCACATACCATTGCACATTATTTTTTGGTTCTCTCCGCCTAATTGGTTTATATCTTTTAAGTAGTGGAAAAGACCCTCAATCATTTTCATTTGTGGTTGTAGTTACATCTGTAGAGAACCATGTAACATTTTGGTGTTCTTTTTGTATTATTTCATTACTGCTTTATTTTTCTTGCTTGTGGTATGGTTATTGCCTCGTTCTATTTCTCTCGCTCCTTATTTACGAAAAATCCAGCCATCGGGTTTTAGAATTTCCACGCATAACATTTTATTGGGTCCACGAAACTAAAATTCACAATAGCTTATGAGTTCCACTACTGATTCCCATGCTAAATTTTCATATATGGGGATCAAATTTGAGGAATTTGAGAAAGTAAAATTGGGAAATTTTCCAAATGGCAAGGTCAAGAACCGAATCCAGTGCTCAGTTTGCCAATAGCTTATTAAAATTCTGGTAATTGGATTTTAGAGATTACAAGCACATAGTTGGCTTTTAACTCTTAAGACCATCGAGAGTTTACCTAAAGTTTTTATGGAAGATAATGACTGATATTTAATAACCTAGAAGCAATTTTGATGCTTACAAAATATTACAACCTGGCTCAATAGGCTCAACGTAACATTGATATGGACAACGCTCAATGTAATAACATGGAGGTAAAGGAGGTTGCCACTTTTCTTCTTTCTTCTCTTCTTTCTTCTTCTCTTCTTTCTTTTCATTGCCTGTAGTTACTTTCACTATATTTACACAGCAGAATTTCTTCCTCAGTGAGGCTGCCAGGCAAACCGAATCAATCTCCTCCCCGATGACCGTCAGCTGATCCTTCTTAGCACCATCAATTTTTATGGTCTCCACACCTGCATGAACTTCAACAAATTCTTTAGATTGCCCT